AAAATGGAAGAAACTTTTTCTTCTCCTGAAAAGCTGAGACTCTTGTTGCTCCCTGTTAAGTAAGAGTGTAGGAAGAGCCAGAAACAGTGTCTGGACTCCCCAGCTACTCTGCGACAAGTCCAGTTTCACGCATGCTAAGAAAATGGCTGTCTCGTGTCTGCGATGCAGCAATGGTGCAAATTTGGTAACCTTCCCCCCGTGAGATGCCATGGATGCAGTCTGGCTGTGCCATTGCTCCCCCAGCTGGCAGTTATTTCTGTGGTTCTTTCCCAGGTGATCCACGACTTCTTGTTCTCCTTGAAAGAAAGCCCTGAAAAGTTCCAGATTGAGGCCAACTTCCCTCGCCGTGTCCTGCCCTGCCTCCCTACAGAGGAGTGGCCCAACCCACCCACGCTGCAGGAGGCCGGACTCAGCCACACGGAAGTCCTCTTTGTGCAGGACCTCACGGACGATTGACACTTTTCCAGAAGACACAAAATGGAAAGAGAAATTCATATTATTATTATAATACGATATTTTTTTTAAAAAGACTGCGTACAAACGAGGGATCAGAGACCACATCGCCTGTGCCAGCTGTGCTGTGTGCGTGCACTGGCGAGAGGAGGCGTGCGTGCGTCCTCGCACACCCGTGTACACAGCCACCCCCTAAGCTCGGAGGGCAGAGAGGGAGGGGAGCTGGTGTTGCCCCTCCGCCCTCCCTGGGGAGGAACAGGAACGGCAGCTCTTGGTAATTATTGCTTTTATTGATGACAATAATAAAACCCCAACAACCTGACATCTTGTGAAGATTTGATACTCTGCTGCTCCTGACAGCCAGAAGAGCGGGCACCTGAATGTGCTGGGAGCAGGGGCGGGGGAGGGCTGGACAGAATCTCTTCAGCTTCCCTCTGTGTATAAATATCTTTCTTTTAATATTTCTCTTGCTTTGTAATGACCAAAGGAGAAGGGGGTTGACCATAGTATTAACTTTTTGATAAAGAGCTGCTTCGATTCTTACCTGTGTGGGGTCTTGCCCAGGGTTCTTAGCCTGCGTAGTGTAATAAACTCTGCCTCTAGCATGTCTGTGCCGATGCTTTCTGCCTGTGCCCCCTGCCCTGACACAGCACTGGTGAGTTACCGCTCACAGCAGCCTGGGTTCGCTTAACTTCGGGCCTCGGATTGGTCACGTTGTGCTGGCGGAGCCGCGGGGGTAAGAGAAGAGCGTGCACCCCACGGGGGAGGGCGGTGCTGGGGGGCTGCTGTGCTGCCCGCCCGTGGTGCGAGGCTGGGCAGGAGCGAGGGGGCCAGCCCTTTGCTCAAACAGATCCCTCCTGCATCAGTTAGAGGTGAAATAAAAGACACACGAGGTGCGATGGGGAGAAGGGGGGGGGGGGGGGGGGGCC